CTGATGAAGGAGCAGCAGTAGCCTGAGGGTTTCGAGTTCGACATTCACTAAAGTATCACTTGACGGTATGTGAGACATAATGGCAAAATAGCACGAGAACAATAAGGCAAAAATAATGAACAATAAAAATTATATAAAATTCTAGAATTGAAATAAAAGATATACAACTAATTCTGCAGAAGTAATAAAAAAAAAATGTTTAAGATACACTGCAACGCCCGCCACTCTACCCACGAAGGTGGCTTGATAAGCCACTCTATGCCACAGGAATGGTGAAACCCACTCTTAGCATCCAACAGGGAGCACAAAGCGATATAGACAATACTTCAGAGGAACTTGGCTTACTTCTTACTGCGTGGCTTACTTCTCTCTCTCTCAGCTGGGTTAGAAGCTGGGTTGGCTGACTAGCTTAACCCACGAGAATGGCTGACTGGAAGACGTGTAACGATGCACAAAGCACGGAGGAGCAGTTGGATGACAGGAGACAGGCTGGATGATAGGCTGACTGGCGTTCACTTCCACAGTCTGGCTTACTGACTGGCTTAATTGCAAAATCCGGGTTCAACCCCCTCGTGAGATTGAAGCAATTAGCACACGAACTAAGCCAGGAAGCTTGAAACGGCTACAACAGGCTTGCAGGCTGAAGGTGGTGATTGAGGGTAAGGCGGCTGGCTGGAGGTTCACCTTTGACCCTGCCGGCTACTCACAAACAGACTTCTAACTTCTTGAATTACTCGTAAAAACTAAATCCACGCTCCACACCGGTGCCACCATTTATCATGTGGGAGTTCGACACGTGGATTAGGTAAGAAATACTCACGTAGGCTGGTAGTACGTATAATTACAGATAATGTGGGTTGCGCCCTTACAGCCGTAACCTATCTCTCTCGCTCCTCTCGTAACACTGACTGACTGGCCGCCCACAGTACCCATATGTGAGAGGGTCTTTGAATAATGCCAGGTCAGCGCAATATGAGTTCAGATAGTGACTCAGGCAGAGACGGTTGGTCGTGAGTCAACTGGCACAGTGGTTACTGGTAACTGGTTACTACTACTGAGATCACAGGTTCTCAGTGTCACAGGTCATCAATGTCACAGGTCATCAGTGTCACAGGTCATCAGTGTCACAGATCATCAGTGTCACAGGTCATCAGTATCACAGATCATCAGTGTCACAGGTCATCAGTGTCACAGGTCATCAGTGTCACAGATCATCAGTGTCACAGGTCATCAGTGTCACAGATCATCAGTGTCACAGATCATCAGTGTCACAGGTCATCAGTGTCACAGATCATCAGTGTCACAGGTCATCAGCGTCACAGGTCATCAGTGTCACAGATCATCAGTGTCACAGGTCATCAATGTCACAGGTCATCAGTGTCACAGGTCATCAGTGTCACAGGTCATCAGTATCACAGATCATCAGTGTCACAGATCATCAGTGTCAGAGGTCATCAGTGTCACAGGTCATCAGTGTCACAGTCATCAGTGTCACAGGTCATCAGTATCACAGATCATCAGTGTCACAGATCATCAGTGTCACAGATCATTCAGTGTCACAGGTCATCAGTGTCACAGGTCATCAGTGTCACAGGTCATCAGTGTCACAGATCAATCAGTGTCACAGGTCATCCAGTGTCACAGGTCATCAGTGTCACAGGTCATCAGTGTCACAGGTCATCAGTGTCACAGATCATCAGTGTCACAGGTCATCAGTATCACAGATCATCAGTGTCACAGGTCATCAGTGTCACAGGTCATCAGTGTCACAGGTCATCAGTGTCACAGGTCATCAGTGTCACAGGTCATCAGTGTCACAGGTCATCAGTATCACAGATCATCAGTATCACAGATCATCAGTGTCACAGGTCATCAGTGTCACAGGTCATCAGTGTCACAGGTCATCAGTGTCACAGGTCATCAGTGTCACAGGTCATCAGTGTCACAGGTCATCAGTGTCACAGGTCATCAGTGTCACAGGTTATCAGTGTCACAGGTCATCAGTGTCACAGGTTATCAGTGTCACAGGTCATCAGTGTCACAGATCATCAGTGTCACAGGTTATCAGCGTCACAGGTCATCAGTGTCACAGGTCATCAGTTTCACAGGTCATCAGTGTCACAGGTCATCAGTGTCACAGGTTATCAGCGTCACAGGTTATCAGCGTCACAGGTCATCAGTGTCACAGATCATCAGTGTCACAGATCATCAGTGTCACAGGTCATCAGTGTCACAGGTCATCAGTGTCACAGGTCATCAGTGTCACAGATCATCAGTATCACAGATCATCAGTGTCACAGATCATCAGTGTCACAGATCATCAGTGTCACAGGTCATCAGTGTCACAGGTCATCAGTGTCACAGGTCATCTCAGCACGCCACTCACTTCAGTAATTATCATGTCACTCATCAAGGCATCGGTTTCTTGCTGTAATATTCATCACTTAAATTTTCTTGGGTCATTTGAACTCGCCTATAAGAGGCCACAGGGTCGAGTCTTAGCTCCTGACCCCTTCCTCTTCCCTCCTAGCCTGCCAGTTCCTGTCGTACCTCGTCCTGAAGGTGTGGAGCCTGTCTCCAGTACTTCCTCCAGGTTATTCCACTTTCTGACCACCTTGCGGCTGAAGAAACACTTCCTGACAGCCCCCTGGCTCATCTATGTCCTGGTTTATATGTTCTTTTACCCATATCAAATAATCTATTCCTGTCTCCCCTATTAATTCCTGTGTATTTTCTACGTTGTTATCATGTCTCTCCTGGTTCATCCTTCTAACACCATCGTTAGACAACCGTCGTTAGCCTCTCGTTGTTCACAACCCCTGCAACAAACCTGGTTGTTCACAACCTCTGCAACAAACCTGGTTGTTCACAACTCCTGCAACAAACCTGGTTGTTGACAACCTCTGCAACAAACCTGGTTGTTCACTACCCCTGCAACAAACCTGGTTTTTTCACAACCCCTCCCAAAAACCCTTTGGTTGTTCAAAACCCTCTTCAACAAACCTGGTTGTTCACAACCCCTGCAACAAACCTGGTTGTTCACAACCCCTGCAACAAACCTGGTTGTTCACAACCTCTGCAACAAACCTGGTTGTTCACAACCCCTGCAACAAACCTGGTTGTTCACAACCTCTTCAACAAACCGGGTTTTTTCAAAACCCCCTCCCAAAACAAACCGGGTTTGTTCAAAAACCCCCCTGCAAAAAACCTGGTTGTTTCCCAAAACCTCTGCAAAAAACCCGGGTTTTTCACAACCCTGCAACAAACCGGGTTTTTTCCCAAAAACCCCTGCAAAAAACCTGGTTTTTTCAAAACCTCTGCAAAAAAACCGGGTTTGGTTCAAAACCCCTGAAAAAACCCTTTGGTTGTTCACAACCCTTCAACAAACCGGGTTTTTTCCAAAACCCCCTTTCAAAAAAACCTGGTTTTTTCCCCAACCCCCTGCAAAAAAACCGGGTTTTTTTCAAAAACCTCTCAAAAAAAACCGGGTTGTTCACAACCCCCCCAACAAACCGGGTTTTTTCACAACCTCTGCAAAAAACCCTGGTTTTCAAAACCCTCTGCAAAAAACCCTGGTTGTTCACAACCCCCTGCAAAAAACCTGGTTGTTCACAACCCTCAAAAAACCGGGTTTTGTTCACAACCTCTCCCAACAAACCTGGTTGTTCCCAACCCCTGAAAACAAACCGGTTCTCAAACCCTCTGAAAACAAATCGGGTTGACCACAACCCCGCAAAAAAACCTGGTTGTTCAAACCTCTGCAACAAACCTGGTTTTTTCACAACCTCTGCAACAAACCTGGTTGTTCACAACCCCCTGCAAAAAACCCGGGTTTGGTTCCAACCCCTCCCAAAAAACCCTTTGGGTTGTTCACAACCTCTGAAAACAAACCTGGTTTTTGTTAAACCTCTGAAAACAAACCGGGTTTGTTCAAAACCTCTGCAACAAAAAAGGTTTTTTTTTTTCAAAAAACCTTTTGGGCAAAAAACCCTTTGGTTTTTTCCCACAAACCCCCTGCAAAAAACCTGGTTGTTAAAAAAACCCTTTTGCAAAAAACCTGGTTGTTCAAAACCCCCTGCAAAAAATCTGGTTGAAAAATCTCTGCATTTTCACCATTTTTTGGGACTCTTTTTTAAAACAAGGGTGGGTTTGTACACTTTTGC